AGTTTCTCTCTCTCTCTCTCTCTCTCTCTCTCTCTCTCTCTCTCTCTCTCTCTCTCTCTCTCTCTCTCTCTCTCTACAAGCATGTCGACGTTCGCCAAGGGAGTCCAAGCGAGCAAAGGTGAGGGCACCCCTAAAAAAAAAAATTGAGCGCAGTGTAGAAGGTTTAAAAATGTAAAGGACGATCTCGACGGGTACAAAAACTCCAATATGAGAGGGAAAATTGGATAATAAAAGGTGAGACTTGAGCAGAGAGCTGAGAGGACGCAATCGACGAATTACTTTGTCGATGTCAGGACAGAGCATGCACGATACGGTCAAAACCACAAGGTTGTTTGTTCTTGATGGGAATAATGGATAGAGTAATTGTTACCTTATAACTAATTAAAAAAAAAAAACTTTGCCAAACAGCCGTCAAAAAAAATAAAAGAGGAGTTTGTCAGTTGCAAGGAGCGAAGCTGAAGGCAATGATGCAACGGATTTTTCTAAAGTATTTAGTCTAAGAAATGGTTGAATATGCCAAGTAAGTGAGTTAAAAAAAAAAAAAAAAAAACATCAGAAGAAAAAAAGATTTTCATACTGAAATGACATCGCTAAGATCATCCTTTTCCCATGAAAAAAACGATGTCTAGTATTGTTTTTTTCTTCCTTCTTTTTTTTTAATAAAAGGTTGACGATAGTCAGGTATTATATTTAAGTTGAACCTCCCCCCCCCCCCCCCCCCCCGACAAATTCCTTCAACTAATTTTCTTGGATTTTAACATTTGTATTTCAACTGTTAAGGGTGTGCACCAACGAGGTAGTCTCATTGATATAAAATTATTCCAACGTTGTTTTCATATGGTTGTACTCATCTTATAGCTTCATCCTCTACTTCAGTTTGTCTGTCAAGTTTATAAACATCTTGATCATATATGATTGCTGGAGTGATTTATCAAAGTACAATCGAACTGTTTTTCTTAGCCCAAAATATTATTTTAAAGCATTCATCACTCTATGTTTGGTTGTGCTCTTGTTTTGCTAGAGTGATGATTGTAGAAGTGAAAAGTGAATTTGTCGGAGAAAGGTACTTCGCAATGTGAAGAGGAATTTTGGCATTACCAGAGTTTGTGAAAGTATGTGTATCAAGCTGCTAGAAAGTTAAGAGTTTGTTAGTATGGCTCAAGGGAGTATGATAGTGAGTAACATTGAGTCTGCTTATAGCTTTTATGTGTTATCGTTGATGTGGCCTGAGGATTGGGTATTGAATCTACTTATGTAACGAACTGCAAAAACACAGGTTGAAAACACTGTCGATTTCTAAGTTTTGCTGCTGGAATGTATGCCTGGCTAAAATTATCGTGTTTTGTTGAGCTTTTCAAATTTGTATGTGAGTGCGTGCTTGCTGATCCATGTACCTCTCTGAATATATGTCTGCCTAAGTGTGTGTGTGACCCGATAAGACATTTGTGTATTGTAAGACCCGTGAGGCCGATACTTATCCGTGGAGGTGACTTTGAGGGTTGCAAAAGGGAAAAACACTCAAGTGGGTGATGAGGTAGCTTAGGGCACACTCAAGTAGCGTAGTATCAGTATAGGTAGTACTTGAGTAGCGTAGGACGAGCAAAACAAGAGAAAAGATTAACATTTTTAGAGGTCCGGTAGTAGTAGGCTTAGGTTTAGGCGAGTACCAGTCCAAGTAGTATGAATCAATGGCATATGCGGAGCATATTAGAGCCTGCAATATTATTTCCCTCCAAAAGGGCGAAGGTACCGGTTGCTTGGGGACCGCGCGGCTTGGAACTCACTGCCCAAGAGAGAAGTTGCCTTGTTACTAAGAGCATTGGGCCTTTTTTTTATTTCTCTCTCTCTCACACACATACACAAACACACATACACACGCAAACACAAACACACACACAAACATTTATATCTTGAATTTGTTTGGTGATGGGATTATATTAGGAAGGAAAAATAAAGTGGAGTAACTTAGTAGACATGATTATCGGTCGCAAGTCATTTACTAGGATAGTAAAAATTTAGTCGGATATTATCCACCACATACTTGTTTACCTCTTGCACATGTGTTTTTATTTTTTATCATTTTTTTTATTGCCAATTGTAATTTATTGCATGATTTTTTTCACGAACATTTCTTTCCACAGAGAGAGTGAGGGAGAGGAAAATATATGAAAGGTACACGGTACTTTGACCCACAATGCTTCAATTGTGGCTCAAAGGACTACATACCTTTGGACCAAAACACATTTTTTTAATTCTTTTGTAATGATCCCTAATAACTATTTAATTTCACTCAATGTCTGGAGTTAATATTTAATGGAGTTAATTTGAACTTAGCAATTGTTTGCAAATATTTTGATTCTTATGCAATTATAGGTACTTCATTTTGACCATTTATCATTATAATTGTTGCAGCAGAAGCAGCAATTGCATTAGCTATTTTATTAGCTACGTATCAAAATAGAAGGTCTATACGTATAGTATATAGATTCAATAAACTTAAATAAACAAGTTAATTGCTAAGACAATGAAAAAACAGTTACTTTATTTATTCTCATACAATCTATGGAGTATTAAAATTTTGAAAAAAACGGAAAAAGAGAGAGAGAGAGAGAGAGAGAGAGA